GTGTTACACAGCAATAATAATAATAATAATGACACCTGATCTGTGCGTGAACACAGCAGCAACTCAGAGGCACTAGGAAGTTTTCATTGAGGAATCCATTGGGTGTAATTTGAGTTTTTGTCAAACCTGATATTTCACTGTTTTTTTCATTGATCCGATGTTTAAGTCACTGTTATAGTCTAGGAAAAGGAGTGTTTTTACCTATCAGATGTGGAAAAATGCTTGATTTATAGCAGGACTAATGTTCTCTTTGATCTTCTTTGAAATCTCTTTGAAATCTCTTTGAACCTCGCATCAATCAAAAAGTAAAAAATAAAACATCAGAAGAGACAGAAGATGACACAAGCTTCTCAAGTTAATAATAAAAAAAAATGTTTTGTTTTTTTTTGGTAATGGTAAATTTTCCAATTTGTAAATGTTTTTTGGTAATGGTAAATTTTCACAAATATGAATATGTACTGTATAAATTTTATAATTCATACTTTTTATTTTTTTTATATTTTAATTGATCATGACCTACGAGTACTCACTTTGCGATCTACCGGTGGATCGGGATCCACGTGTTGGGCACATCTGCTCTAGTGGTATTCACAAAACACTAACTGTGGTTGTGTAGAAAAGGTGAACGAGCGAGAAATCAAATATTAGGGCTAAACTATTATTACTATGACTGTTATTATGTGCCGTTTACGCAGAGTTTCCCATATTTTTCTTCGAGACAAAAGGCGTCAGGCTGAGGTTTTAAACGTACAGTCGCAACAATAATAAACCGCATGTGTTCACAGTGGAAGCGGTTTTACAGTTGAAGATTAAATAATTTAGTGTGTTCCCCACATCGGCCCCCCTGCTGAGATGCACACTCACACACACACCCAGCATCTCGTGCTTCACCTCCACACAGGCACAATCACACAATGCTGCACCAGGATAACCAACCAAAACGGCGATCCGACCACCCACCCTGCAGCCCAACACGAGCAATCTAATAAACCCTCCCCCATCCTCACTCTGCGCTCCCATTGGACGACGCCCTCCCATGCTGAGTAGGCTCTCCAAACCAATGAAAAGCCTCCAAGGTGATGTCATTCAGGCTGCGTTGATGCTGTTGCTGATGCTGTTGCCCGGCGCCTGTATCCGTGCTTCCAGACGGGGGGTAACCATAGCCACCGGCTCATCGGAAGGAGCAGCAGCAGCAGCAGCAGCAGTAGCAGTTGCAGCAGCGAGGACAGAGGACAGAGGACAGGGTAAGTCTGCAGCACTCACATTCCCCAAAAACTCTAACCTGCACTCGTCCACACACCAGGCTGGCTCAGGGTGGAGGTCTGGTTGCGTAACAGCACCTTCCCCTGCATCCGAGCATGTCACCGGGGTGCGATGGGGCGAGGGTGAGGACACTGATGATGCAGTGGTTTCTGCTGACGGGTGGGCGAAGCGCGGAAAGGACTCGGTGTACCCACAAACGCTCTCGCGGGGAGCCGTGTATTACTGATGCACACGCAGCTTTGTGTGTGCAAAATGTGATGGAGGACACGTCTGGGGAGGGGAAGGAACAACGACAGAGTCTGGCCATGTTCGTGTGGCAAAAGGGTGTGTGCACAGAAAGAGTGGAGAGACAGGAACGAAAGAAAGGGTATATTATACTAAATATGACATTGGCAGTAATTAGCTTAGATTTTGTTGAATTTTCAATAGGTTTTTGAACCCTTTTTTTCTTTGAGATAAAAATGTTTAATATTAAAATGTTTTTTTTTTGGACTATGGAAAAACAAATAGGTTGATATATTTAACGACGATGGTGGTAATTGTGAACATTTTTTTTGCAAGAAACGGATAAAGAAAAACTAACTTCGAATCGTGAGGTTCTTTGAGGACATCGAAGCAGGATTTTGCCTTAGGGAAATAAATCTCCACTTGAGCAAAACAGATGTAAAACCTCTAATAATGGACGACAAAAGTTTAATATTTGTTTTTTTTTAATCCTGTTCATGCGATCAAGTGAATTGGATGAACTCAAAACTGACAAATATCGGCTGCATTGTCTCAACCACACTAACCGCAACTAACTTTCCAATTCTCTTTCGCTCCGATTTTACGCAACAATTGTTTATACTGTATATAAAACAGACAGGACGTATGTAGGTTGTAATGGAATCTGAAAAAAAAATAAAAAAATCTGGCAACCTCTGGCCACTGTTGCCAAAAACCAGAAAAAGTACAGATTTTAAAAAAAAAATGAAATCGTTCCAAATTTAGGTCAAATTAATAGCATAGCATCGCATGCCATTTGGAAAGAATGGCTAACGGAAAGGCTAACTGCTAACGTTCATTTTTTTTGCGATGTGTTTTTCTTACAATAAATAGTGTTAAATGTCTCACAATGGTATATATTTATCTACATATATTTATATAAATATAAATATATATACATATATTTTTTATATTTATATAAAAATATATTTTTTAAAATATATATTTGGTATTATGTATGTATGCATATAATTTTGGTATTCTTTTCATTTTTTAAAAAATATTTACAATACAGTATAGTGAAAATTCAGAACCCGATTGTCACAAGGCTACGTCATTCGTCGAAGCCTCTCGCGAAGCCAACGGGTTCATGAATACACCTGAGAGTTGGCGAACAAGTGTCGGCGTCTCTCCCCTCTCGCTCACATCACTCAATTATCCACAGACTTATAGCTCATTATGGAATTATCGACCATTAATGGCCTGTATGTCTGCGTGTGGCTCTTGATGGCGTGAACCCTGCCTTTCAGGGATTGGCTCTGACCCCGCCCGCACCCAGCATTCACCGGCGTGCTGTTTTAATACACCCCTGTGTAAAGGTCAACACAGACAAAACAAATAGAAAGGGGGAGCAACGGGAGGTGGGGAAATAAAGGGGCAATTACCAGAAAAAACACCCACCCACAGACACTGTTTAGTTTTGATTTTGGAGACTTTGGGAGCCTAAAACAAAGACAAATGTAATTAGCGAGTGCACTGAAGTGGTCATCGACCGAGCAGGGGTTGTCATGTGATACAAGGGCAGAATGTGCTGACAGGTAGTCACGTGTTTACTTTATTGATTTCGATTTTTTTATTTATCATTTTTCATTTTAATTGTTTACACTTTAGGGCATGTTTCCCAAAGACTGGGTCGCAACCCTCAGGTGGGTCGCAAGAGTTTTGGTTATTTTTGGGTCGTCCGCATCATGTTTCCCAGAAGTTCACCAATAATGTCTATTGACTTGAGTCGCGAAGGTTTGTGACTTTTAAAATATGGGTCCCCAGAAAAAAACGTTTGGGAAACACTACATTAGGGTCTATCCAAAATGGCAGCCATGATGCATTGCTGCGTTTTTCTTATATTAGCCCATAGTAGACAAACTAAACGGTACATGCAAGGACAATAACTCAAAGGTTAGTACATGTTCTCTCGCGTGACAGAGTCCACAGGCACGACACTAAGACTCCACTCCCACGCAAACAACAACAACAAAAAAAACCAACCACAACAAATGACGACACCAAAGAGGAACGCGGCGGCCGCAACACAAATGAGTCACTATGTAGTCAACCGCCGACCGCCCACTAGTGTTGCCCGCCTACATATATAGCTGCATACCACAAGTCACCCAACAAACAAACATGCCCTGCAGCAACCAGAAAATGAGGGCATATATCAAAGTTCCAGTCAATCAAATATTAGTTGACATAGCTAAGGAAACAAAGCAGTACCAACGAAAACGCAAAAATAAAAAAATTAAAAAAACAAAAACAAATAGCAGCCAACCTGCCATATATGGAAAACTAACCGGTCGAGTGTTCAATGATGATGCCAAACTCAAGCCAAATTTAAAAAGTCAACCAAAAAATATTATAAAAAAAAGAGTCAAAATAATAAAACGGCATGCTAACCGCTAAGTACCATTATTGTTCAACTTCCACCAGACGAATACAGGAAGGAAACTGGTACCGTATAGCATTTGCGTCAAGCATCGACTACCTAAATAGCATCAAGAAAACTTTGTAATCTTGACTGCTGATATTTAAATTTAATTTATTTTTTGTTTAATAAATGTGTCATAATGACAGACTGTCGAATTTAATGTGGTAATTATAGTAATCAGGACTGATTAAAATTCAATAAATCAACAAAGCCAAATTTTGAGTTCGACTTTTTATATATTTTCATTGACTTTTTTTTTTCAAATTAAGAATCCCATCATCTGCATACGGTAAAACAAATGTGAAACACGCACATACACCTGCTGTTATTTGTCTTTCTGTTGCAGCAACATACAGAAAGACCAAAAGAAATATCTCAACCAATCACGATTAATCATCATTCATCCATTGATTCACTCATACGATTAAACTTTAAACTATTTAACCTTCTTTTTACACCCTATATAACGTAATTTCTTTCGACAAAACAGCAACAAAAATGGCCTCCACTTTCCAGACTAAGTAGAACTTTTTTTTTTTTGTCAGTGAATTATGCCTCCTCCTTTTCTAGAATCTTCTCAAAGATTTACAGCTCTCCCTCATATTCATGTCACGTGATACTTTGAAATTTTCCCCCCTTTTTTTTATAATTGATTTTTTATTCTCTGCACCGCTGCTGGAGATTCTGTTAAATCCTAACGCCGATGATGCAGCATTACAGCGATGATGCAAATATTTGTGAAATGCTGCCATCATTGCGCTGGGCAAGACTTACAGTAGGAGATACAGTGGGGTTTTCTCTCATTGGTCGCGTTAGACCTTAATGGGAGGAGCTTTACGCGAGGGTGCTGCAGTTTTCTGTCTTTGGTTGTTCTCTACATAGTCTCTGCTTTGATGCTGCTGCATTTAATCATCTCTCTCCCCCCCCCTCTCTCTCTCTCTCTCTCTCTCTGTGTGTGTGTGTCATTCTGACAGAGTGAGAAGGATAGTCAGCATCCCTGGAGACAAACAGACGCAGTGAGAAGATGACTCTGGCAGGTGAATGCAGCCACTGCAGAAACTCACGGCCTCTCACGCCTCCCTACTGTCAATATACTGGCTATAAAAAAAAAAAAAAAAAAAAAAAAAACCCAGCTCCGCACATTTGCGATTCCGGTTTACGGATCATCTCTTATTACTAGCGTTAAGCGTTCTGTGATAGGATTAGTTAGTACCTGACTTTGCGGAGGTGGATTACATCATCAGGCCAGAGGAGCTTTGTCATCATTTAGTTTGACTCAACACAATGTCATGCCTAATAGCTGAAACATTCCTCTGTGTGTGTGTGTGTCCTCAGCCTACAAAGAGAAGGTCAAAGAGCTCCCCCTGGTGTCGTTGCTATGCGCCTGCCTGAATCCACAGACTCTAGAAAAGACTACATATAAAGCAGAAGGTAAGTACATACATAAAAAAAATCATTTAAAAATTTTTTTAAATAAACATATATATACAAATATGCAAATATATAGATATAAATATATATCTATATATTTTACAAAATAAATTTCATCGAAAACCGTCACCACAGATGCAGTGGACCTGGGCTGGTGTGTCATCAAAGATGTCGAGGTGATCGAAATAAACAAGCGGGCTTCAGGCCAGGCCTTCGAAGTCATTCTCAAGCCCCCGTCCTTCGACGGCGTGCCAGAACTCAACACCTCCATGCCGCAGCGTCGTGACCCTTCCCTGGAGGAAATTCAGAAGAAACTGGAGGCTGCCGAGGAGAGACGAAAGGTGAGGGAGGGGGAGTGGAGTGGAGCGTAGGCGGTGGTGGTGGTGGCGGCGGTTTGGTTTTTCTTACGTTTGTGCGTCGTGATTCACGCAGGAAAACCTCTTTCCGTGACCCTAAAAAGTAGCTCTAACTATTAGCAGGTCTTTGAGGATTAGTTCTGACAACACTCTTTGTGTGTAGAGTGATTTATCAGCTGAGGAGGGAGGGAGCGGAAAAAAAAGGGGAGGAATGGATGAAAGCAGAGGAAAGAGGGAGGGATAGTTAAAGAAGATGAAAAGAAAAGGGAGGAAACACAAGCAGGGGGGGTGGAAAAAGGCCGACTAAGTATGAGGGCAGTCATGCGAGGTCACCCACACAATGGCTCGTATTCATTTGGTGCACAGGAAAGAGGAGAGCCAGACAGGAGAGACTGTTCTCCATGGTTGTTTCAGTTGTACAGTTTAAATAACAATCTCCAGGAACCACTTCTTTGTATTCCTTTTCATGCACCAACTCTGACTAGTTTATAATCGCATAAAAACGTAGCTGATGTCAAGCACAGTTCAGTGAATGTATTAAACGACTCAGCCTTGATCTTAGTTCACTGTTCCCACTTGAGTCGTTTTAAGTTTTTTTTTTTAAATCATTTTTATAAGAGATTCTTTTCAAGAAAGTGACATTAATCCGATATCATGACTAAGCCGTAAATCTGGGGTGCCAAACTTCTGGCCCAGGGGCCACTTATGGCCCACAAACCTTTCTGCAGCTGGGCCATGGATAGATAGATAGTTAACTAGCTAGAAAGCTAGCTAGCTAGCTAGATGGATAGATAGATACATAGATAACTGGCTACAAAGCTAGCTAGCTAGATGGATAGATGATAGCTGGATGTATGGATGGATGGATGTATGATGGATGGATGGATGAATAGATAGATAGATGGATCGATCGATCGATCGATGGATAGACAACTAGCTAGAAAGCTAGCTAGCTAGATGGATAGATTGATGGAAGATATTAATCCCTCGAGAGTTCCCTTTGGGAAATTAAGGCGATAATGCTAATAATGAGGCTAGATGCTAATTTTTTTTTTTTAAATTTATACATGTTTTGCTGTGTATTATTGAACATGTTCTGTTCCAGATGTGATATTTATTTTCATGTTATTTTTGTCCGTCTCCAGTGCCAGGAGGCCGAGCTGCTGAAGCACCTAGCAGAGAAGAGGGAACACGAGCGCGAAGTGATCCAAAAAGCCTTCGAGGAGAACAACAACTTCATCAAGAACGCCAAGGAGAAGCTAGAGCAAAAGATGGAGGCCAACAAGGAGAACAGGGAGGCTCTCCTGGCCGCCATGCTGGAGAGGCTGCAGGAGAAGGTACAGTTCGCCACGTGATCTTTAGCCCGGTTAAAGTAAAAAGGGAAAACAGCCTTAGATTCCCCCGACTGTGTGTTGGGTTTCTTGTTGACTCTGACGTTGTTGTGTCCCTGTGTTCGGCGCGCAGGACAAACACGCCGAAGAAGTGAGGAAGAACAAGGAGCTGAAGGAGGAAGCCTGTCGGTAGATGAGCGGAACGCGCAAACGGTGGGAGCGAACCAGAGCAGGACTGGGAGCTTTTTAAGTTAAACCGTGCAGGATAATAAAAGAAAAAGAGCTGAAAAAACAAACGTAAACAAAGATAAATTGCCAGTTTTTCACATTTCATGTATACTGTAAGAAGAAGCTGTACAAAGTTTAGCCCATATTTGATGTAAAGCAACAAAAAAAAAAAAATAATAATCACGCTTTTTTTTCTAAGGAAGCGGAGTGTGGTGTAGCCTCCAGACAAAAGAGTGTTAGCAGACAATTCCGTCGTGTTTGAATACTGGACACCGGCGTAGCTAAAAAGCTCCGATCTGCAGAGAGCGCTAAAGATAAATCAGACCTTGTAACATCAGCAGGACACATTTCTTCACTTTGCTTCCACAGCCCTTGTGCTAACTCTTTAGCATTTTTCAGCCTGCCTTGTGTCTTGGTATGGGACATTTTTTTTATGTACTAAAACTCAGCGGATTTCACAGAACGGATCTAGAACACAACCAGGTAATGCGTTTTCGTTCCGACAGAGTAGAGCCTCGACAAACGGAGGCTCGAAAAGTCGAGGACTCTCAGCGGCGCGCTGACATTTTCAGACTTTGTAAATCTCCGGTGTACTTGTAGTTCAGTGACATTTAGGGTCTCCTAGATTTTAGACTTGGAATTGCACTCTCATTTTATTAAGCACAACACAAAAGCACATATGCATATAAAAGGGGGGACGGGGGCTGAGGCGGGGTCCCCATCACGGAGAGATTTGGACGAAGTCACTTTTGAAGTTTAGGTTCGAGGCTCCTCTGGCTAACTCGTCGACTCTGTTTGCTTTGATACGCGTCATCGTGCTCCGAATGTTTGTTCGTTCGTTTGGTTTTTTGTTTTTTGTTTTTGTTTTTTTTTTTCAAAGTAGAAGTATTTGAAACCCATACCTTAAAAAAGTGTGTAACTAAATCTGAGTTGTTGAGTCATACTGACTTAATTTAAAAAACGTTTCACATGTTGGCAGTGTAACAGAAGAGGTTTGTACTCGCTGTAACCGTGTCTGTCGCTGTAACTCTGCAAAGCTGGATTGACTATATCTGTTTGGCATGGACAGTAAAAAAAAAAAACGCTTGGCTGACCTTAAAGTGTCTGTGTACTTTCTTGAAATGTTACAGTATTCGCAGTTATACATACATTCACACATACTACATTCAAATTTCCCAAAATTTTTTTTTTACTTTCACTTTCACTTTCACATTTTAAAATGTAGCTAGCAGTTGACTATAAAAGCTAAATGAAATATAACCATCGCACACCACCACGAATTCAAACACTATTGAGAACCTGATAACGTATATTTTTATCTGTACAAACCACTCCATGAGTTGCTGCCACCTAGTGGCTGGAGGCTTGTTATCATTCAAGCATTACAGCAGTGATACCATACAGCAGTGCCATATTACATTGGGAAAATTTTCACGCCCCACCCCGGCACCTCACCGCGCACTCAGTCGAGGCCCCGCCCCACTATTTGAGAAGATTTAGATTCAAAGCCGGCGTCAAATCTACAAATGAATTAATATGCAAGTGAAGAGCAGTAAATGTACGCATTTTATTACTTGTTGTATTTGTCTCTTAAAATATTATATTTACTAAAGTTTAAATATTAATGCTAAAAATAAACGGCTTTTTTGTTTCTTTTTTCACGCAAATTAAATAAGAAAACAGACACAGAATTTTGGACAAAAAAACATTTTTAAAAATTGTGCAGTATACATAATATTACTTTTATAGATTAGACAATTAAATTAAAATGGCTTTAAATACAAATGAATATAAATCAGTAAAGTTAAAGTTAATCTCTACGATGGAATAAGATCCTGGAGAAACCATACGGTAGGACCTGGTTCCAGGGAGCCGCCGTTTGTGCTACTCCTGTTGTAAAACGTTGGGCCTCACGCAGGTGCAGCCCACTGTCACCACCTCAGTCCCCAGTCTGAACACGTACTTTTTATCGGCTTTGCTCCCCTTTCTCTTGCTTCGTCTGTTCAGTGGGACTCTGTAATTAAATTCAAAATAATGTTATTTAATTGTATCAGTTCTTTTTTGTTTCTGTAGACTTTCACTTTTTCAGGTCTGTTATGTTGCAGAACCACGTTGTAGCATGGACCACAAACCACATCCTACAAATATATTTATGTAAATTCAGCCTTTATCATAGGGTAATGTTGGTAAAAAAAAAAGAAGTAGAAGAAGAAGAATATTAATATTAGTAATATTAATATACCATCATTAACTTCTCTACAGTAAATATATAACTATAAATATCTTTCCCCTCACAGCCTCAGATAACCAGCAAACTTTCTGGTCAAAATCAAGTCTCAAAAAAAAAAAAAAAAAAAAAAAAAA